AATTCCTCTCCCTTTCTCTCTATTCTCTCTTCATACTATAACACTTAACACATTAAAACACTATGACAAACTTGCCAAAAACAAAAAAAAAATTCCTAACGTCCTGAAAATAACACATTAATTTCTGTCATAATACTTTCAAAATAACTATAGAAAAATAAAATTTGTNCACCAATTCTGGGTAAATATGCCTAAACAAAAGAAATGCAAATTTAAAAGTTTTTTTTTTGTGTGTTTTGTCAAATTACTTTATCTTCAAATGGCTTAAACTTTTGGGGAATTGGGTTGAATAACCCAAAAAAATATTATAATTCAAAATCTAGCCAATTACCCTATATCTAAAAGATGTCATCATGCCACATAAGTTAGTTTTGGTTAGTTGTCTAATTATTTTTATTTTTTGGTTAGTGAGCAAATTAACCCTAAATTTTTTAGTAATATTCATGTTTTTTTTTATTTAGTCACGCGTATCATATGATTATGAATGTAAGAAAGTTTGCTTCATCCCCTTCCCTGATTGCATATGTAAATTGGTTTTGATATGACTTATTGGAAATCATCTTAACGCAAAATTCTCAATGAATGGAAATATTGTTGAATCTACCATTTGTGGTGAAATTATTTGTGAAATCTACCATTATTGACAACTCCTTATAAAATTTACCACAATTGCACTGTTCACATCGACGTAAAGACGATTATGCCCATGCATCAACTTTGCTTAGTTTCTGTTTTTGTTCACCATAACCGGTTTTGTCCACCACCGTCTCCGACTATAACCATCGGTTCCGGTTTTGTCCACCGCTGTCTCCGTCCATAACCACCGTATTCATCTCCGTCTCCGGTGGTGTTCATTGATGTCTTTGCCCACCATCCACCACCATTTCCATGCAGACTCACTGTGTTCGTCTTCGTCTTTGTCCACTATTTATCACCGTCCATAACCACCTTGTTCGTCTCCATCTCTGGTGGTGTTCATTGCTGTCTTTGTCCACCATCCACCACCGTCTCCATGCAGACTCACTGTGTTAGTCTCCGTCTTTGTCCACCATTTATCACCGTCTTCGGTTTTGTCCATTGTTGTCGTCTCCGGTGGTGTTCATTGCTGTCTTTGTCCACCATCCACCACCGTCTCCATGCAGACTCACTGTGTTCGTCTCCGTCTTTGTCCACCATTTATCACCTTCTCCGGTTTTGTCCATCGCCGTCATCTCCGTCTCTGACCACTGTCGTCGTCTCTGTCTCTGTCCACTGTCGGCGCATGCGTCTCTGTTCACCGCCGTCTCCGTGCTCGTCACTGTTCATTGCCGTCTATGTGCTCACCACTGTTCACTGCCATCTCCATCTATGTTTTTGTGAGTGAAGAAAATAGAGAGATATGAGCGTAAGTGAGAGAGGGAGGGGAAGATAAATTTATTAAGAGGATAAAAAATTTTTTTTAAGTTAAGAATGAGAAAGAGAAATTTAGATTTGTGGTAGATTTTGTAATATTGAAAAATTGTGGTAGATTTGATAAGTAATTTTAAAATAAATGATAGATTTCATAATTTTCTCATGTTATTATGTGGTTTGCCAAATTTGTACAGGGAAACGTCACGTATGCATGATAATTCGTCTGCATTATTAAAAACTATGATATGCTTTCTCTAAGTTTGGAA